TGTTTTTCGCAATCTACTATCCATTTTATGCTTTCCGTTTTATGTTTTTCGTTTTATGTTTTTTCACTATCTATTACCCACTATCCACTAACCACCATCCATTATTTGTTAACCACTATTCGTTACCTACTACTACTATCCACTACTTATCATGTACTAAATTTTAATTGTTATATCAAACATGTACTAAATTTATGATTAGATTGTCCTCAAACTAACTTAAGCACATTTAAAGACTAATTCTTTTTTGAAATCTTAAAAAACAAGTCTATTTATTAGTTTAGTGTATTTTAAAAAATTAATTTTCTTGGGGTATTGACCTAACATTTGAAATCTAGACTTAGCCTACAAATTATAGCCTCTAGAGGATAGCTCGAATGATCTTTCTCTTATTCTCTTGGGTGATTGTAAGGGACTATATCTCTTACTACTGAATTCCTATCAAATTTTCAAGTCTGTTTTTTTGAATACCATTGTTATGTTTGGTGTCAAATTGTTAGTTTCATTGATATCTATGTTTCAGTGAATTGATGTGATGACAGTGTAATGGGACTCTGTTTGTGCGAAGATATGCACAATACATAGAATGATTGTAGATTTAGAGTATTAAGTGACCAAGAATGCAATCTCAGTAATTAGGAATGAAATCTCGTAGATTGTAGATGTATTTTTACACGGTGGGGTTGCTTATAAGGTATGGAAAAATGTTTAGACTTGATATCTGAAAAATGGATATGTTGGGCATTTGTAGGCCTCATGCTATAAGATAATTTAGTGCTAAGCATTTCCCCCCTGTATCAAAAAAAAAAAAAAAAAAAAAGTTTAAACTTTAGAATGGTGGGGGATAAGTTGGGTGATGGCAGCAAAGTGTTGGGATTCCTTTGGGCAGTGGCAGCTATCAGGTAGCAGGAAAGAAGTTTCCTTTTGCTGGGATGTAGTGTGGTGTGCGTTAGTTTGGTCCTTGTGGATAGCTAAAACTGAAAAAAATACTCGGGAAGAAGGAGACTGATGTGGGAATATAATATTTGAGCAAATTCAAGTAAAATCTTTCCACTGGATTAAAGCACGAAGCAGTGGAGGCCGGTTTTGTTTCTCGGACTGGGTGCAAAATTCTACAGATTGCCAAGTTGTTTTATTAGTAACAGACTAACAGAGAAAGGCTTTGGAGTGAACTCCTATACTTTCTGACTGTGCCTTAAATAGCAACAACTGGGTTTGAAGGTATGGAGAGAGGATGGGGAAGGTAAAGTGATGAAATTTTATCGGGTGATCTTGAGAGGATCCAAAGCAAATTGATTTAACCAGAGTTAACAGTTGAGAAAGTAACAGCAACAAAGTAGATGTGGGGTAAGAATTGGAGGAAGAAAAATGGAAGAACGTTCTCTGGAGGAAGCCTACCGTCAGAAGAAGTATGGAAATGCTTTGCAAACATAAATAAAATGCATATCCAAACAGATGAAGTACGCACAAATATCAAAGTACGGAAATGCTCATCCCATTCAGCAGCAATAAGTAACGTGACAGAAGACCCAGACCATCAACGGTAAGCACAACTGCACAAGACAAGAGGTCTAAAATCTAGTGGGCCTTTTTCATCCCTTCCCATTCAAAGCAGAAGTGCAGAATGGCAACTGGAAAATTCCTTGTCCAACCATTGGGCTAATGGGGTTCATCAACATTCGACAATTTGAAATGATCAGTTAGATGCTAAATGTCGGCTCAAGGCCCACCATTTATTTGCACGAATTAAAGCCCAATGTCATTGTAAAATTTTGCCTTGTAAGATAGCAATAGCATCACTCTAAACTTTATGATGTCTTCCTTCTTGTTATCTTCTTTTGTCTTTGGGTGTTCCTCAACCACCACTATTTCATTCTAGCTAGGGACGGAACCAACCATTGTTGTTCAGGAATCAGGATTGGCTACAAGCTTAGGCTCTGAGCCCTAAAAAATTAGGGGGAAAAAATAATTATCAAAAAATTGTCTCACCATAAGCGCAAGCTTGACTCGAGTCCCTATCCTAATTTCATCGCTGATTCTAGCCACGCCCCAACTTTCCTGCCTCAGGTTGATGACTGCACCACCGTATAGTTCCATGAGGGCTTTTGATGGAAGGTAATTAATTGTGGATCTTTAGCAGCCAGCTAGTTCAAAACTAACTAGTTTAGCTTAATCAATTTTCATTACTAAGTTGTTTGCATTCCTTGTTGCTTGAACAATTCATGAATGTGCACAGGAAAATGTTTGATTGGGATGATAGGATTTAAAATTTTGAGATTTTATATTAAAAATATACACCAAATTATAAGTTAGAAAGAGATTTAAAAAAAATTATATTCTATTAGATACTTCATTAACACAAAGAAAAAATGACAATAAAACAAAAAACTCTTTGTCGTTCTCTTGATTTTCTCTATAGAATAATGGCAAAAGTAGTCAAAGTCGTCGGCTTACTGCTTGTTGCAGTTGCGGCCCTATCTCTAGATGACACTAATATCTCAAAGATAAAATATTTCAATAGGTTTTTTCTTTTTTTTTTT